CTCTATTTAGGATGTCCTAGGCCATCCCCATGAGGGGTTGTGGTTAGCAGTCAAATACCTTAGACATTATGCTACCAGAGACAAGAGTAATGGGAACTGGGGAGAGGAGGACAGAATAGTATGAGGGAGAGGACTTATTGTGAGCAATGAATAAGAGCAAGAAGTAAAGAGTCTTCTGGGAGAATCCAGTTTGGCTGTATGTTTTGGAGAGAGAGCTTAGTCTATTTGCTTCTGAGAGATATTTTGGAAGCCAGGGATTTGGCTTAAACAAGGTGCTATTGAAGAAGCATCCAGAAAAGGCATTGCAGTTCAAAAACATGAAAATAGGAGATGTTTAGCTTACCTGCAGTGAGGTGAGGGTAGAATTCAAGAAAGAAGCCAGACTTACTGAAGAACAAATATTTTCTGGTATCTACTTCATGCAAATACATTGTTCCAAGCTAGAATTTATAATTACCTAATATACCTGTATTTGTTGGGTCAATTAAAAAAAAAAAACTGTATTAAGCATCTACTATATGAAAGATACTGTGCTAAAAATCACAGAGAATACAGTGTAAAATATAATCCTAAATATTAAGTGTGTTTGTGTGTGTGTGTGTGTGTGTGTGTGGTGTATGGGCAAGGTCATTAACATGACATAGATGTGCAATTGCTATATTACAAAATATAGTAAAGTACTCACCATAAAGGAGATCAGAAAACAAACGGGTTTCCAAATATGTAAGGACACTATTCAGTTGGAGTATTGTGAAAGGCTCTTGAAGGAAGCAGTATTGGAGAAGAGCCTTGAAGGATCCTTGAGGAACCTCTGAAGGTTTGTTCACCAACAAGAGAGGTGAGATGTGTATTGTATTTCAGAGAACTCAGAAATAGTCATTATAAGGTGAATCTGCCCCCTAACTATAGTTAGGCTTTTAATGATGTGAGATTTCTTTTTTTTTTTTCCTTCCAAAAGTGAAGAATTGGACAATCTTATCAAAATGAACAAGAGTTTGAATAGGTAAGATTTAAAAGCATATATCTTACTTTGTTACTGAATTTCACACATGACTTCTTA